CCAACACGCACACGCACAGTCTGGAGTGTCAGTGACTGCAGGTTGGTCCTCAGAGGTCTTAACACACACCTACGTCCTGTCCTTAGCTAGTGACTGAGGTGGGGCTTGGGGAGCGCTGCGTTTCCCAGTTCCTGGTCCCGCCCGCACCCGTGCTTCCGGGAGGATGGGCGAGATAGTTTGTGTTGTTGTGCTAAACTGGATGGGCAGGAGGAAAAGTACTTTTTTTTTTTTTTTTTTAGTGTGTGTGTCTTTTTGAGATAGGGTCTCGCTATGCAGTTCAGGCTGGCCTTGAGCTCACTTTGTAGCCCAGGCTGCCCTTGAACTTGCAGCGATCCACCTGCCTCAGCCTCCCGAGTGCTGAGATTACAGGCATGAGCCACCACACCCGGCTCGGAAAAGTACTTTCTGTGGAAGCGTAGTTGTTTGCTTTTAACTGCCAAACCCGGGCAATAAGAAACACCCTCGAAGTACCTTGACCGAGGTAACCTAAGTGTGCGAATGACAGAGTAAAAAGGACTGTAAAAGCCGCGGGAGGGCTGGGGATTTAGCTCGGTGGCACAGCGCCTGCCTGGCAAGCGCAAGGACGTGAGTTCGATTCCCAGTACCGGGAAAAAAAAAAAAAAAGCCGCGGGAGCAAAGTTTCGCATTACTCAAAAGCAGTCGGATGCACATCTTGTGTTATGTGTCTGTGTTGCGTGTAGTATTTTTGGTGCATTAAAGCACACTTCAGCAGACGTTTGTGGTTAAAAAAAAATTAAGCAAAAACAAATCTAAATCTAGATTAGCATGACTAGGCGAGTGATTGCATATGTATAATCAGGCTTTTCGTTTTGGTCGGCATTCCTTATTATATAATGGTTATCCAGCACCAGAAATAGAACCTCTCAGGATATTTGGGATCTGTAAAGCCAGCAGTGGGATTTTATATTATAAATCATCCAATTTCAAAAATAGCTCGATATTTAAAAAGTAACCTTTACTTTTGTTCTTACTTTATGACACTAAAATAAAATTCCAGGCCGAGTGTGGTGGCACATACCTGCACTCCGGAGGCTGAGGCAGGAGCATTTTTGTGACTTCAAGACCAGCCTGGGCTACAAAGTGAGCTCAAGGCCAGCCTGAACTGCATAGCGACAACTTATCTCAAAAAGACAAAATAAATAAATAAAATTCCAGGGGCCGGGGATATAGCTCAGCGACACAAACGCCTGGCTGGCAAACTCAAGGTCCTGAGTTTGATTCCTGGAATCAAAAAAATAAAATAAAATTCCAGATACATTCACTTATTTGTTATAGTGAAAAAACACTAGTACCTTTTAGGGGTGCACTGTGTCCGAGGACCTGGGTTAAACTCTGTTTGCATACTTTTAACATCCTTCCTTTGAACTGAGGCCTTAGACGTGCTAGGCAAGTGTTCTACGACTAACCTACATCCCCAAACCCTTTTTATTTTGAGACAGGGTCTCCCTAAATCCTAGGCCAACCTCAAATTTGCAATCTTCTTGACTTGGCCTCCCAAGTAACGATTTAACAGGCATGTGCCACCTCGCTGGACTACCTACTCTAATTTAACCCTCATCAATCCTTTGAAGTAAGTACTAGTCCAGTTATATAGATACGGAAGTGTAGACCCAGGATAAGTAATTTGGCAAAGCTGTTATTCAGCGTCTGTATTGTCAGGCCACAGAGCACATGCTTCTAGCCTATGTCAAGAAATAAACGTGACTCGGGAGGCTGAGGCAGGAGGATCATTGTGAGTTTGAGACCAGCTTGGGCTACGAAGTGAGCTCAAGGCCAGCCTGAAGTGCATAGTGAGACCCTGTCTCAAAAAAAAAACAAAACAAAAAAAGAAAAGAAAAAAGAAATAAACATGATCATACCTACTTTTATTCATCTGTAAGTGGTTTGATTACAAATTAGGCCTGGAGATTTTTATATGCTACTAAACATTGTCAAGATAACATAAGAAACAGTAGTCTAGTAGACACTTCAAGCATCATTTTTTAACTGTGTCCCAAATTTTGTTTTTGTTTTTGTTTTTTTCTTTTTGAGACAGGGTCTCACTATGCAGTTCAGGCTGGCCCTGAGTTCACTTTGTAGCTCAGGCTGGTCTCGAACTCACAACGATCCTCCTGTCTCAGCCTCCCGAGTTGTGTCCCAAATTTTGAGAGGTATGAGTGTGTGTGTGTGTGTGTGTGCGCGCGCGCGCGCGCGCGCGCGCGCGCGCATCCGTGGTGGCGGGATTCTAAGTGCTAGGGTAGAATGTGGTAGAAAATGATGTCAGGATAACTACTGGATCATTGAAGGTACAACTGTCAGGAGCAGGATGAGCAGCTAAGCAGTATTGTGTCCTAAGCATTTTTCTTTTTCTTTTTTTTTGTCCTAAATATTTTTCAAGAGAAGTGTTGCACATATCGTGTTGACACCTGGACTGTAATATAAGAGAGGGGTAGATTGGTTGGTTTGAGATGGGGTTTTGCTACGTTGCTCATGCTGACCTTAAACTCTCATCCTCCTGTCTCAGCCTTCTAATTAGCTGGGCTTTAGGAGAATATTTTTATACAATAATCATAACCCTTCAGTGTGTCATGATCAGGTTTTCTTTTTTAAAAAAAAAGACAAAACAAAACAGTAGAACCCAGCCATGATGGCACACACCTGTAATCCCTGTGTGGGAGGCCAAGGCAGAAGGAGGGCAAGGTTGAATCCTCCTTGGGGAACTTGCCTAAAGACACTGTCTAAAAGTTGTTGAAAAGTGCTGGAGAAGTAGGTTAGTGTGAAGGCCCTGGGTTCAATCCCCAGTACTAAATAAATAAATAAATAAATAAAATAGAAAACATCAGAACAAATAAAATAATAGAAAACACCCCTGGTACTAAATAAATAAATAAAATAATAGAAAACATCAGAATATTCTGAAACATCAGAATAGTATAAGTAATGTGTACTGTTTTGTGAAATTTTGTTTGCATTTTTGTAGTTGTGTATATGCATATATATATGTATATATATGTATATACACACATATAAAAAGATACTGCAGGTCACCAGTTTTCTCTCATTGTTTGTGGTGGAAAGGTTTGAAAAACACTGAGATGGGAAAAGCAGAATTTAAGAAGGCAGGCAACAGCTGTAAAAGGAAGGGGGACAAAATATGGAGGGCCGGGGATATAGCTCAGCAGCACAGTGCCTTGCTTGGCAAGCACAAGGTCCTGAGTTCGATTCCAGGTACCAAAAAAAAAAAGAGACAGGGTCTCGCTATGCAGTTCAGGCTGGCCTTGAGCTCACTTTGTAGCCCAGGCTGGCCTCGAACTCGCAACGATCCTCCTACCTCAGCCTCCCGAGTGCTGAGATTACAGGAGTGCGCCACCATGCCTGACCGTAACTGTTTCTTTTTTTTGTTTGTTTGTTTTTTGTTTTTCTCCGGTACCAGGAACCGAACGCACGACGTTGCGCTTGCCAGGCAGGCGCTTTGCCACTGAGCTAAATCCCCAGCCCCCGTAACTGTTTCTTAAATGTTGTAAGTATCAAATGTGTGCGTAACAACTGCCTAAAAGTAGGAAGAGACACAAAGGCAACTTTAATTAAACTGGGGACTTTGTTCTGGGTAAAGTTAATCATCTGGTTGGAAAAAAAGTCTCAGAGAAGAATCACCTAAGTGACACCTCAAGACAGTGTGTGATTAAGCTCTAAAAAAGTATGCCTCTAATGGTCTCTAATTTCACAAAATTTTTATGGGCAATAGCAGTTGGGGAAGCCTTCAGTAAGAAGGAGCTGAATTTCTTTATTATTTATTTCTTCATCTCTGTGATGCTGGGAGTTGAACCCAGGCTACTCACATTCTAGGCAAGCACTGAGCAACAGCCCCAGCCTCACAGCTGACCGTAGTTGAAATAGGAGGCTGCAGACAGAATAGCCTTTCCAACCAGAAGAACTGCAGGAGCAGATCCTGGAGTCAAGCTCCAAATATCTGCGGTACTATAACTGAGTTGGAGTCATCAAAGGTGGGGCTAGACAAATAAGGAGAAGCATCGCATGGGGAGAGTCTCAGTTAGTCACAAGAGTTTATAGGAAATGGGAAATTCCTGGAGCTCTCTAAACAAGGAAATAGTGGGCTATTCATCAGAGTGTCAATACACAGAAGCTGGATAGGATAGGTAGGAGCAGAAAGAAAGGCCAGATAGGAAACTGGTGCTAGAATGGAGCGTGAAGGGAAAAGCGCTAGATTCACGAAGGCTCAGAAGTGAAGTGTGTTACAGGCAGCTGTGTCAGCTATCAAGGAAACCTGTCATTCCAGGTGGGGTGACAGACACTCGCAGACAGTGAGTTTCCCAGCATCATGTAACAGCCACTCAGCGGATGGTAAATACGGTTCTTTTTGTAAAGTTGTTAATATAATTCTGTGCTAGCTGTACTTGTGAGACATGTTTGCTCTTAGGGAAAGGAAACCTAGCTTGGTGTGATAAACATTTCTGGTACCACAGTCCAAACAAAGACATCTTGATCAGAGTATGTTGGACCATCAGTGGGAAGCAAAGATTGTGAACTCATTATGGTAAAGATTTGTGGCTGGTTGGTTTTGGTACTTATAAGCGAGTGTCTCAAAAATACTCAGTATGTGTTTGTTAAAGGAGTTAGTAAAGTGAAAGGCCAGTGACTGAGTAGCTAAGGAAGAATATCGAGGTTTCGCATATCAAGGTGATACAGAGCAAAGCGTACTGAATGATCATAGTAGATCCCAAACTCAGCAAGGCCAGTGATCTCCACCTTTTAGATGAAGGGCATTCTCTGTTGTGTGTCTCCCAGAACTCTGCAAGGATCATGCTAACTGAGCCTCGCTGAGATGTTGCCTCAATTGTTTCTAGAACAATAAAGCTATGACATGGTCACTCAGAATCTGCTTTATCTCATTTTTTGTGTGTGTTTTTTTGTGTTTTTTGTTTGTTTGTTTGTTTTGAGACAGGGTCTCAGTATATAGCCCAGGCTAGCCTTGAACTCACAGTGATTCTTCTGCCTCAGCCTCCTAAGTGCTGGGATTACAGGTATGTACTACCACACCTGGTTTATCTGCTTTTTTAAAAGGGCAACTTTCTACTTTCTCAGAATCTAGTAGATTATTGACTATCCTACTTAAAAAGCATTTCCTATCATTCCAGAATTTTCAGAACAGACCCTATAGCAAAAAAAAAAAACAGACTTTAGGCAAGCTTTTCTAGAACTGACCCGGATTATATGTGTTATCGTCTTGCGAAGAATTTCCTTAGGACAGTATCATATTACCATATTTGTATCTTCCTTTAAAAATTCCTTAAACAGGCCAGGGACATAGCTCAGCAGTGCAAGTGCAAGGTCTGAGTTCAATTTCCAGTGCCAAAAAAAGAAAAACAAATTCCTTAAACAGATACCAATTGTGGGCTAAGTTATACAAACTCCGTTTGTATGTGTTTTGTTTGATATTGTTTTTTGGCTATTTTTACCTACCCAGAACTGAAACTCACAACTATTGAGAGAATTGGAATCCATAAGAATCTTTTTCTTGAAAGGTGAGAGATTATGTACAAGAGAAGTATGTACTGCATCTTCTTGATTTTTTAGTTTCCCTTTAATAACTCAATATTACCTTTATATGAACCAGATATGGCATTTTATGGCATTATGTCACTTATGTGAAAAACAGACTGAAAAGTAAAGACTATAAATGAACTTAGCTGTGTTGTTTTGGTTTTTTGTTTTGTTTTGTTTTGTTTTGTTGTCTTTTTGAGACAGGGTCTCGCTATGCAGTTCAGGCTGGCCACGAACTCACAACGATCCTCCTGCCTCAACCTCCCAAGTGCTAGGATTACAGGCATGTGCCACCATGCCCAGCTGAATTCAGTTGTAAGATTGTTAAAACTCTTATCATTATGGGAGCCTCCAGGGCTGGAGATACAGCTCAGCAGGCACAAGTGCCTGGCTGGCAAGCATTAAGGTCCTCAGTTAATTCCCGGTACTTAAAAAAAAAAAAAAGGCAGCCTCCAACGCTTAACCACCTTTTATAGTTCCTTGTGCTACACAATAGAGCAAATTAGTTAGCTAAGTCTAAAGGCATTAGTTTTGTAATACTTTGATAACATCATGAAGAACTTTCATTGCTTGCCGTTAGGTATTTTGAGGGCTTTTCTTGTGAAAATAACTGCAGTAGATTAAGTGTTTTCTAAGAGTTGCTTCATCGCTTCTCGGCCTTTTGGCTAAGGTCAAGTGTAGTATCTAATAGTCGCTTCATAAATTTTTCTAGGCTAGCACAGTCACAGTGTTCAGGGGCAAACCTTTGGAGTCACACTGCTTCCTGTTATTATTTCTCCTGAGCTACAGTGCTGGGCCACACAAACAACCTAAGTTTTGGGGCTTTCGGAGAATGAGCGTCAGGACCCTTACAAGTATTTTTACTGAGAGAGACCGTTTTTATGGTGGAAAACATTTACTCATTACACTGTTCTCACACCAAGCACTTGCACAACTTTAGTACCAGAAATTACTTCTCTTAAGCAACTAGTTTGTTTTATAACCTTGTGGGGATCCTCAGTTATGTAATTGAATGTGCTTCCTGTCATTGTTGTGTTCCTAGTTTAAAAGCTCAGATCCTTACTTATAGCAAGCGCTCAATTATGTGTGTTTTTTTGTTTTTGTTTTTGTTTTTTTTGCGGTACCGGGAATTGAATTCACAACCTTGTGCTTGCCAGGCAGGTGCTGTGCCGCTGAGCTAAATCCCCAGCCCCAAGCACTCAATTGTGTTGGGTACATTTTGTGAATTTATTTTCCCCCCAGTTTATATTTTGCCTACTCTTAGTTTCACTTTGGCCCATTGTCCTGCTTCCTTTATATCTTGTTATACAGCATACATTTTATAAGTAACCTTAAAGCTTTTTGATCAGAAGGAAGAAAAGATATAAGACATGATTATTCATGACTACAAGTCATAAAGATTAGTTTTGTGATTAGATAAGAAATAGCCCCAGATATCCCAATCTGAAGATTATGTGATTCCCTTTATCTCCACAATTACATGTATATTTTCCTTAGTTTACTATGACTATAGATGTGTGTAAATTTATATGAGTAAGCCGGGTGTGGTGATGCACACCTGTAATCCCAGCACTCTGGAGGCTGAGGCAGAGGATTGCAGTGAGTTCAGGGCCAGCCTAGACTACAAGGTGAGCTCAAGGCCAGCTTGAACTGCATAATCTCAAAAAGACAAAAGAAGAAATTGTATGAGTAAGAGCTTCATTAGAAAAAGACAAAATGATGAGTAAAGCCGCATAAGTCAGGGTGTGACAGGAAGAAAAACATGCGAGCCGAAACAGGCCGAGTGAAAGAGAAGGACCGTTCTGGAAGGTTGCAAGAGTGGGTAAATTGGGAATTGAGAAATACTAATTCAAAGAAACTTCTGCCTGGGAAGCATCAAGGATATGACTACTTCTTTCAGGGGTTGGCTGAACGACTGATTTTGTTGACGGCTTACCGCTAAGCGTCATGGTAATAGCTACAGAGATAGCAAAGGGCAGGTAAGGTCTAGTGGAGCAGAGTCCTGGGTGACTCTGGATGGCAAACAGAAAACACATTGTTTCCTCAGTGCTCAGGGAGGCTTACAAGGGATTTGAGGCGCACTGAGGGGAGCAGGTGAGACGGTTTGGGATTAGAGGAGATAAAATGTGGAGGAGAAAGAGAACACAAGCAGGAGGAGAAGCCACACTTCTCAGGGAGTTAGGAGAGAGCTGAGATCTGACAATACGCCGAGGGTCCAGAGCAGTAGAAACCCCATCCGCCCAGCACTTAGCCAAGGCCTGGGGCTTTGTGTGTGCTCAAAACTGGGTTGGCTGAGTTTGGCTGGACCAAACTAATGTCTGCATCTGCACTGTTGTATTGCTAACGTGCCTGTACTTACGTCCTGATGTGGCTGTCACAGCAGCACAGCTTTTCCTTCGGGTCGAATGAGTCTGCTTTGGAATTGATTCCCTGTAGAGGAGAGGAAAGAGATGCGTGGGGCTACCACTGTGGGTTCAGCACCCCTTGGGTTGTTCCTCCTGCAGCATGGCATGTACCCTAGGAGATCTTTCCTGCTGTCCTCTACCTTCTACCTGCTCAGATAATTCTTCATTGTCTAGGTCTCAGCCTGTTACCTGTTGGAGAAGGTTAGGTCCATATACAGTGCTTAACTCTACATATGTAAAAGATTCTGGTTGCTGTACCCATAGCCCTCCTAGGTTAAAAAACCAGTGTGAAATAAAGATTTTTAAACAATGTAAAATAAGATGTATACATTACTATTTTTTCTTTTTTTGAGACAAGGTCTTGCTATGTAGTTCAGGCTGGCCTTGAGCTCACTGTATATCCCAGGCTGGCCTCAGCGATCCTCCTGCCTCAGCCTCCCAAGTGCTGAGATCACAGGTATGCACCAACACACCTGGCAATTTTTTTTTTAATTTCAAGAAAGAAGCTGGGGGTGGTGGCACATGCCTATAATCCTAGCACTCGGGTGGCTGAGACAGAAGGATCCTTGCGAGTTCGAGGCCAGCCTGGGCTACAAAGTGAGCTCAAGGCCAGCCTGAACTGTATAGTGAGACCATGTGCCAAAAAGACCTAAATGAATAAATAAATAAATAAATAAATAAATTTCAAGAAAGGATCTTGTTCAGTCACTAAATTATTCAGGATCGGCTGGAACTTGCTGTCCTCCTGCCTTATCCCCCGAGAGTGCTGGAACTATAGACAAGTGTTACCACCTCTAGCTTTTTCTAGATTTTCTTCCAATTCAAATGCTTTCTCTCTTACGCATGCTGTCCGTGCTCTCTGTCATCTTTTCTGAGCCTTTCTTTGCTAGTGCCTCAGGCAAGTGCTGAGGCAATGGACTATTCTGCACTTTCCACTGGTAGGCGTTCCCACAGTGCCCCATATCTCCAAATACTTACTACACACACTGGTAATCGTGTAATTGTTTGCTGGGAGCTCTTTAATGTCTGTCTTCCCCTTGAGACTGTTCTAAAGGGCAGCAACTCTGAAATTCATCAAGAGCTCAAATATTTGTTGGCTTGACTAATGACAAAAAGTAAACACATTTTGTGACCAGGGGAGAAATTAAGGGTTCTTCTAGATCAATAAATGGGACCTTTAATACTATAAAGGGGATAAAAGAAGACAAGAAGACCAAATGAAATAAGAAGTGTTTTCTTGCACAGCATTATCAAAGATTTAAAAAACTACTTGATGATGCATGTACTTCCGGTGAGGTCAGTTCATTTCCTCTAGATAATTCCTAGTAAAATATAACACAAATCCATCATTATAACAAATCTGTGATTGACAACTTTGTGAAACCCATTCATAAAATCATAGTCAGCATCTGGCCCTCCAATGGAAGCATTCTCAAAGATGACCCTGGAGAAAAGCCCATACCAGGGCCGGGTGTGGTAGTACACTCCTGTAATCTCAGCACTCAGAAGGCTGAGACAGGAGGATCCTTGCGAGTTCAAGGCCAGCCTGGGCTGCAGAGTGAGTTCAAAGCCAGCCTGAACTGCATAAGGGAGACATAAGGGAGACCCTGTCTCAAAAAGACAAAAAGAGAAGAAAAAAAAAAAAAAAGAAAGAAAGAAAAGCCCATACCACAAGTACTGAAATCCACAGGCTACAAAACTCCAAGAAGACAACTAAAGAAGACAGCACAGGAGGCTCACACCCTGGTGACGCGGCAGGACCTCCTACAAACTCCTGAGGATAGTTTGTTGCTATGATGGCAATCATATCCTGTATGCTGTTTCAACTGCTGCCATTACAAAAACAAAAAGGAGGATATGTTGGGGACCACAAATTCACAATGGCTAATGGTGCATACTTCCCTGAGGGATAAATGAAAGTTTGGGATTATAGGTATCACCCTTTGGAGATTTCCCATTAACTCATTAGGGATGGGCCATCCTCTTCCACCCACTAAGACTAAACTAAGATTAAAACACACTCCAGGGCAGATCCTCCTTAGCATAAGATCATCTCCTGCCTCTTGAGTCATCCCAAGATTATCCTTTGCCAAGTCATCCACCTCTGAGTCTTCTGCTGACCTTGAATTTTTCACTAGCCCCTCCTATCACTGTATAAACCCAATAAATAGTGGCTGGCTTGGAGTGTCTCTGTCTCTGCCCATCCTGAGGCATTGACCTCCCAGCCCTGCTTTGTGTATTACTAAAACAATAAATAAAATAAAATCACAGCACTTTCCTAGCATCCAGAATATTAGACTCTGGCTTTCACCATCACCTCTGCCAGAATTTAATTGGGCCACAAATATTTGCTGAGCGTTTTGCAAATGATTCCCATTGTGCTAGGTACCCACATGAATATCCTCACAGACTATGCCCTTGGAAAGTTTACAGTTCAAGATCGATTGGTACTAGGTTACAGTTAGATAGGAACAAGAAGTTCTGATTGGCTATAGCACAGCAATATGACTACCGATAATAATGTCATGTAAATTTCTAAAAGGTAGAAAAAAGGCTTTTGAGAGCTTTCACTGTAAGAAGTGATGTTTGAGAAGATGGATATGTTTAACCTGATGTAAATATTACATGTCTATATATATTAAAACTATTCCATCAATAGTATGTTTTGTTTTTATGTATCCATTAAGTAATAAAAAGGTTATAGCTGGGCACTGTGGCACATACCTGTAATCCCAGCACTCAGGAGGCTGAGGCAGGAGGATCATTGCCAGTTTGAGACTAGCTTGGGCTAGAAAGTGAGCTCAAGGCCAGCTTGAACTGCACAGGGAGACCCTGTCACAAAAAGACAAAAAAGGCCAGGGATATAGCTCAGTGGCATAAGCGCCTGCCTGGCAAGCACAAGGTCCTGAGTTCAATTCCTGGCACAAAAAGAAAGTAAAAAAGGTTATAACTCAAGATCTAAAAAAAAGAGGGGGTGTGGGTTTTTCTCTGCGGGGCAGCGCGTGTGTGTGGCGCGCACGCTCTTGTGTTTTTTTTTCGTTGTCGGGGAGAAACCCCAATAAATATATAATTAAATAAAAATTAAAAAAGAGAAAAGTCTGAGGCAGTCCTCATAATTAGATCAATAACAGTAACAGTAATTTAATAATAATAATTAGATCAATAACAGTAACATAATTTTATGTGTGTACCTTGGATAAATGAAAATGTTACAGATGGAAATATTCTGGAAAATCCTAACCATATCCATGGAGGAAATCACAGATACATAAAATAAAGAAAGATTATAAGCAGATAAATTTAGGAATTTTTAGTTCTGTCATAGCCAACGGAAGATCCGTCTGTTCTCTGACCAGGTTCTTAGTTATCCAGCAGAAGCTGCATCCCTGGGCTAAGGCAGTGCTTCCTGAAGGTCAGCTCAGACACAACCAGTGACGTTGCCTGAAGAAACATCCTGTCTGCGCAAAAGGAGATTGCGCTTTGTCTACACAAAGCAGTGTTGTGGGTGTGTGTGTGTGTGTGTGTGTGTGTGTGTGTGTGTGTACGCTCGCATGCATGCGTATGTGTTGTTATGCTTGTCTCCAAGAAGATATGGAGAAGTTATGTGTATTTGTTCCATCGCTTAGCTCGCTTGATTTTTATCCAGTTATGAACAAGGGCAAAATTGTAGGTTCAACCTCCATAGGTGATTCTTAGCTTTACACAGGAAAATCTCTGTCCTGTGTCCACAGATTGTACTTCCAGTGGTGAAATACAAGAGAGAGCACTACCTCAGTGGGGTCACTTCCGGCATGACTAGAAATTCAACTCAGTCACATAACGATGCATAAGTATTATCGCTGTAAGTCAATCAGAGATGACTGCAACTTCCTAACATCAGTGTGGAAAGGGTGAAAGATCCTCAATTGTACTAGGAAGATAAGCAACTTCTTCAAATTTACATACATGCATACACGTTTTGCTCTGATATATATACTATGTACCTGTGCAAAAAGATGTAAATACTGCCAGGCATGGTGGTGCACGCCTGTAATCCCAGCACTCGGGAGGCTGAGGCAGGAGGATTGCTGTGAGTTCAAGTCCAGCCAGGGCTACAAAGTGAGTTTGAGGACAACTTGAACTGCATGGTGAGACCCTGTCTCAAAAAAGATGAAAAGTAAATATCATTTAGCCTTAAATAAATAATATATATGGATAACAAATAGACTTTACTTTTACCAAGTAATTAATGACATTTATTGAGTGTGAGGTTACCTAACAATTTGAATGACTTTTTTTTTTTTGTTTTTTTGAGAGAGTCTTGCTGTGCAGTTCAGGCTGGCCTTGGGCTCACTTTGTGGTCCAGGCTGGCCTTGAACTCACAACGATCCTCCTGCCTCAGCCTCCCAAGTGCTGAGATTACAGGCGTGTGCCACCATGCCTGGCTTGAATGACTTTTGTTTTTACTCTGTTGAGTAACTTGCTATGTCAGACAGGAAAACGCAGCTTCTGTGCTGATCAGCTGAGCTGTACACTGGGAGAGATGTTAGTTTTTAGGTTTTCTCCATCCTTTATTTTTTAGTTCCACTGTTGTGTTTTTATCAAGTTGCTGTTAAACTCTGATTCAGTACTTAATTTGGAACTTCAGTATTGTTCATCCCAGTTTCTCTAAAATGAAAACTTCATTTCTAAAACCTAAGGATGCTCCATGCCCCTCAGCATCCCAGTGAATGTGCTTGTCTATTTCTGGAAAGAACTTCCTAGTTAAGCCCACTTCATAGCCATGGCAGGGTCTCATAATGTTAAGAGCTCACACTGAGGCTTTTTCTCTAGAACATATATTGGCTGGAATTTGTCTGTGGTTGAAACCTGGAAGTCTCTTCTTTCTGGATTTCTCTTCTTCCTCTTGCCCTTTCCTGGATATTAAGGTCCCCACCTTTCCCTGACCCTTGGGTCTGAGTCCAGGGAGATGCACAGTATGTATTTATTATTTATTTATTTTTGTCTTTTTGAGACAAGGTCTCGCCATGCAGTCCAGGCTGGCCTAGAGCTCACTTTGTAGCCTACTTTGTAGCTGGTCTTTGAGCTCACTTTGTAGCTGGTCTCAAACTCACAATGATCCTCCTGCCTCAGCCTCTCGAGTGCTGGGATTACAGGCGTGCACCACCACATCTGGCAAGATACATGGTCTTTAGCCTGGGAAAATGACAAGGAGGTACTTGCATTCTTTGCAGTGGAGCATATGCAGTGCTTGATCACCTTTTCTACTGTAACTATTATTAATAATTAATTTTTGACACCCTCTATATCTGAGGTGAGCAAATACAGGATAGTCTGCTCTTTAATTCCTCTCTCCTCATCAGGCTCAAATGTATATTGTTTAAATATTAGAATAAAAGCCTGCTTCGTTGAATTAGGCTCCTTAGAGGAAGCTGCCGGTTAGCTGTGATGCAGTGATCACACTATTAAACACTGTACAGCCTTGCAACAATACAGAGGTTTTCTCCGTAATAAACGTAGTTATTAATAAATGAGGTCTCAGAGAAAGTAATTGTGGAATAAAAGACACCTTCCGTGAGTACGCGGTTGGGGATTGCAGAGCTGCGGTACCTTGCCCTTCCCTGTCTTTGCCCTCTGTGTCCCCAGCTGGTTTCGCCCTTCCTCCCTTGCAAGCAGTTGTCTTTATTTCATCATGTAGACAAAATGAGCATGTAGAAAGCTGATGCATCAACAGAAGCCAGAAAATTATATATGTACACCGTATGTTGGATAACAGTGTGCAGTCTTATGACTGTAAGGACAATTTTTTTTTCAACTCTGTTCAAACAGAGTTTACATGAATTGCAACCTCTGTTCCCTCAGCCTTATTGGAGTGGAAAAAATCCCTTTGAGGCTATAATAGGACTTGTGGTACAATACTGATTAATCTTCACTTTGCACATATGCTCAAAATGTGGAAAAATACATTTGAATCAGAAAGTAAGACCTTTAGTTCCGGCTTTGTGCCAGCTTAGGTGTTTGATAGCCTCAGACACACCACTCTTCTAACAGTGGTGAAGATTGTTGCCTTATGTAATAACAAAGAAATCTGTTGACCTCTGCTAGTGTACCTACAGAAAGCTGCTGAAAAGAAAATACTGTTAGCTGGGCCTGGTGGCGCAGGCCTGTAATCCCAGCACTTGGGAGGATGAGGCAGGAGGATCGTTGTGAGTTCCAGGCCAGCCTGGGCTACAAAGTGAGCTCAAGTCCAGCCTGAACTGCACAGCGAGACCCTGTCTCAAGACAAATAAATAAATAATCAAATCAAAGAGCCGCTTCATTTTGGATTGCGCAGGGATGGGATGAGCACACGGGCGCAAGTGTTTCCCTTAGACGTGTGAGCCGCCCTAGCAAACTGACTGAACCCTGGGGGCTGACATGAGAACCCCGACCTACAGCCAGCGGTCGGTCAGCACCTGCCACACTCTGTGCTGCATTTGCATTCGGGGGCTGAGGTGCTGGCCGGTCTTGTGGGAGTGAATTCAACCCTGAGTTGAACCAAAGGACCTCCCCCGACTGGTGTCTGCTGGAGAGTCTACTGCAGAATTTCCTGCTGTGTGTGGCAGGGAGAGTGGAAGGAAAACCCACACAGCTAGGGTCACAGAGGTGTCCTGCAGTGTGAGAGCGCAGTAAGGGAAACTGGGTTTGTGTTTTCCTTATAGCACTCCACTGCTGGACCATTCACCTTTGTACGTGCTGGAGGCCTCAGGAACCAGCACAGAGGTCAGCCTACAGCGGCACAAGCAACCTCACCCCAAGCAGCAGCAGGGGTAAGATACCTGTTGTCTCTCCTGAGCCTCGGGCAACAGCCTGAGGTGTGGGTGCACAGCTCTCTGGTGGGGTTTAATCCTAAGACTGGCACGGAGGAAGGGCTGCAGCCACCCTGGGTGTCACCTTACCACAGGTGCCAGATGGCTGGGGAGGGGGCTAGGGGACTCTGAGCTCAGAGAGCTGTAGAATAAAAACTGAAGCTGGTCCTTTTCCTCATCACCCAAGGACACACGGAATTGTGGTGAGACACGAAGGCAGTAGCTATTGTGTCTGCCGAGGACTGGAGCTAGCAGTGTGGGTTTCCTCAGGGTACTGATGGAAGATGGGTCTGGGACAGGCGGGCTGGCTCTCCAGCAAGTACCCTGGAGAGGGCTGAGCCAGTGAGGATAGCATCCAGGGGTTCCCCCCCACCCCCTGTAGGAACCTAGGAAATGTCTTTAAAAAAAAGTTGCCCTGCCTCCCCGCCAAAAAGTTGCCCAAGTTGTGGGAAGTTCTGTTCTTAAGGCCACACTCTCGAGATGTAGTGGTCCAGTTGCTTAGTAGTAGTCAGAATGGCAAGTGGCCTCTGTCTGTCTCGTGGGAAGCCATCATATTTATATAGGTGCAACCATCATTTCTACACTTTGCGTACCTACTGTGTGCTAGGAGCTGTCTTTGCTGTGACATGGTCCCAAGGAGAAGGGGCGAGGGAGAGCTCTGTTACCTGAAGGACAGTGTTACTCCTCGATGTCATCCCTGGGTGGCCCCCACTGTGTTTACCTTCCGCCGCTGCGGTGTGACCTGGAGTGCGCCCTGCTCACTAGTGAGGGTGTGCACATTTTGGCATGGAAAAGTTCTCCTTGGCATTCAACAGTGCAGAGGGGATTTCCCAGGGGGAGATGGCGAAATCACCGTTTCATAGTGAGTCTGGTCCAATCACAAGGTTAGAAAATCTGGCTCATGGCTGGGCGTGGTGGCGCATGCCTGTAATCCCAGCACTCAGGAGGCTGAGGCAGGAGGATCATTGCGAGTTTGAGACCAGCCTGGGCTATAAAGTGAGCTCAAGGCCAGCCTAAACTGCATAGCAAGACCCTGTCTCAAAAAGACAAAAAAAAAAAAGGCTCACAGGTATTTTGAAGTTGGCCGGATTTGGGATGATCGGTTTAGCAAGCCTCTAACAAAATGATACATAAAACAGATGTAAACTGACTAGACTTTGACTTTCCTTTGCCTGTGTTTTTGGGGCTGACCAGTCTTTTTACCATTTTTACCTCTGATATATCAATCAGGTGACATGCCATCTGTGTCTTTAAGATGTTGGTGATTTGCTTAATACCCAGAGCGTAGCTTATTTCATATTCATCAAGGGTATCTATCCTGTGTCCTATTTTCCTTTTCATATACTATTTATAAGTGATTAACATTTTGGTATCATTTCTAAGTTTATGTCAGTTTCAAAAATGGGAGGAAGATCATGGACATACAGTGTGTCAGTAACAGACTAAGCTTACAGTCAGGGTTTCCTAACACCTAATCCTTTGACTAAGTCGCTAGTTTTCCAAAATTAGTTCTATATTATTATTGCTATTTAATTAGTATGCTTATGACTTAATTGGTCACTAAGGTGCCAATTAAAAAAAGAAAACACCATTATGGTAGGAAAAATAATTGATTATATTTCCTAGAAATAAAATCCATGGGAGATTTTAAAAATGTTTTGTAAAA